GCAGCTACTGGCAAATGGCAGCTCTTGCACTTTTTGACTGTGTAATGGATGTAAATCCAAGTAGGGCTTTGCAGTGGATGAAGTGTCCCACACTTAGTGCAATCCACACATTAAATATGCATACGTCAGGCTTGATTGATTGCTAAGTGGAGCAGGGTAAGAAACATCTGAGCAGATGTTGGAGTCCCATTAGACACAAGGAAGGAAGCATGTAATTAGGCAATTATTTAGCTCCTTGAATCAACAGTTTAGGCTCCCACAAAGCTTTGAAATTTTCTTTTCAAGGTTCAAGCGCTTAGATCTGTGGCTTGATTTCTCTCTGCTCGTTTCCTTTTATCTTTATCTTCTCCAGCACTGGCCCAAGGCATGGGGCAGGATTCTTTGGCACCCAGAGCCATATGCTGTATGGACAGCAAACCAGGAGCACAGCTGCTTCTCGTGTCAGTGGGAAGGCTCTCCAAGGAAAAGCATGGAAAAGCGAGCAGTTATTGTTTGTTTGTTTGTGTAATTTTATTTTTAATCTTGACTTTCAAGAGTGTTTTCCTTCCAGACCTTGTGAGAAACAGCCGAAAACCAACACTTTGGATGCATCCCTCTTGAGAAACTCATCCCAGTGATAAGCTGGGTCAGCAATGGGGGATGGAGAAACAATGTGGGTGGAGAAATCTGCACTCCTTTCCTCCCCCCGCTGCTGCCACCTTTTAACTGTGTGTGCTCTGGAGGCATTTGTATACTCTCCTTGCAATGCTCTTTGGATTTATTTTTTTTGACTTTTTGTGCTGCCCTGTAAACAGCTTTTCCTATCGCTTCAAAAATCTTCAAACTAAATTTGATTGAAATTGGGTGGTCTGTTCAAAGTTAAAAATGCAAGGATGTGCCACTGGAGTGGAAAATAAAGATGAGTAACATTGATAAAGGCTTCCCTGTGTGGAATGAGAATGCTGAAACCTTGTCTTCCCTACTTTCTGTAGTTAATGTGCATTCTCTACGCATAAGAACTCATCAAGTAATGTGCTGAATTAGAAGTATTTGGTGTTTTGGGGTTTTGTTGTTATTATTACTATATCTACATCATGGGCTTTAGTGTCATGAATTATCCTTCTCAGCACGGTGAAATATAACCAGTCTTAACTTGTCTTAAATGATTTTAAAATTGCAAAGTTCTTCTGAATACCCACAAAACAGTAGTACTTCCCCAGCATTTTGAGCACTTTTATAAACACTTGCAAGGAATAGCAGTTGCAAAACACTTTTCAGGTGCAAGATATCAGTGACATTCAGATGTGACATATCAAGATCAATGCTTTGTAGGGGTTAAGTGAAAACTCAAGCATGACCCTTTTACCACAAAATATGGGATGGATGAAGGACTGCATCGTTTCTGTTTAGGTTTTGTCTTTTGCTGCTTAGACACAGGTGAATATTTCCCTTTAACAAAACACTGAGTATGGTTTTCATCATGACCTCATTGGGGCCTTCCAATACTTGAAGGGAGCATGTGAACAGGAGGGGGAATGGCTGTTTATGAGGGTGGATAGTGATAGGACAAGGGGGAATGGTCTTAAGCTGAGACAGGGGAGGTTTAGGTTAGATATTAGGAGGAAGTTTTTCACACAGAGGGTGTTGAAGCACTGGAACAGGTTGCCCAAGGAGGCTGTGGATGCCCCATCCCTGGAGGCATTCAAGGCCAGGCTGGATGTGGCTCTGGGCAGCCTGGTCTGCTGGTTGGTGACCCTGCACATAGCAGGGGGTTGAAACCAGATGATCATTGTGGTCCTTTTCAACCCAGGCCATTCTATGATTCTATGATTGTGAACCAGACGGTAAGCAGAACTTTTTCTTTGGAGGAAGGAGGAAGGCTGGTTGCTTGAGTGAAGAAGCATGCACTGAAATTTGAAGGATGAATCTTCAAAGTACAGAACATAAAAGGAGGCAATGTATTGTCAGTAGCAAGAGGAGCGGTGGTAACTTGGCCTGTCCTCAAAAATTCCCCTGGAACGTGAAAGATCCAAGTAGCCCCCTCCTATGCAGGAGGAATGTGAGAATGTAATCTCTTAGAATAGAATTATAAACAGAAGGTAGAGGCTGGAAGGCTGGAGAAGGAAGGGGGGGCAGTAGGCACTTGCCTGGGGAATTCTTCCTGCAGAGCTGTCTCCAGCTGTGTTGCTTTCGGGAAATGTTTCAGCAAGTTAGTGGGCAAAAGGCATTTGCATTCTCCAACACCTCACTGGAAACCATCTTTACAATGTGTATTTGAAATGGAACTTTGCATTTGAGCAACTTCAGACTTGAAGCCTCCTTTCCCATGAGGATTGCTGCGGGATCCCACAGGGCAGAAAAGGAATCCCACTGGGATTTCTTCCTAATAGATAGATAGCTTGTCTGTGATCTTCTCCTCTTGTCTCCAGGAAGAAAGTCTTTTCTAGAGCAGCTTACACCCCCACTGAGGTGTGCTGTAGAAGCCAGCAAAAAATGCATGCTGCAGAGTTAGTTGACAGCCAGCTCTGTTTTAAAAAACAACCATCTTGCCTTGCTTCAGATTGGAGTGGATTCGATCCCCGGTGGCTTTGTAAAGAGCAATTCTGTTAATTTTTGATGGGCTTATCTCATAATACAAAAGCACACGTTTTAGATTGTTACTGTTTAAAATTAATTGTTTGAACAAAGAGGTATCATTGCTACGCTGGTACTTAAACAAAACCCGTTGATAATGATTAGAGGTTGCTGTGCTGTGGGCGTCTGCCACCTCCATCCTGAGCCCATCACAGCGTTCACATTGCATCAACCCACTGACTGACTGCAGGGAGCAGTCATTTAGCTGAGCTCATCCTATTGTGCACTGAGAAATGATTTGAAGCACTTTGTTTGAGTCTGGAATGCAGCGTGTTTAGGCAGATATTGCGACCGGTCTCTCTCATTTTTCTGAGGACAGGAGTATGGCTGTGGAGCTCTTGTTGACATTTCAATGTGTGCAGCCTTTAAACATCATATAAATCACTCTGAATCTCTCCAACCATCATCTGTTTGGCATGTTATGGGATTCCACAGTAATTTCTCTTTTTCCATCTTGCAGTGTTTTAGATTATATTTTGATGACACTCTGGGCTGAAGCACATTCATAATATTATACAGAATTACTGTGCTTCTGTTCTGTCTGGAAATCTTGACATAACTGATAAAGAGGGACTTACTCATTAGTACATATTTTAGACTTTCCTCTGTGACAAGGATTACAATAATGCTCTCTCCTATGTATTCCACTGCAAAGTAAACACTTGAACAATAATCTCTGAAATTCACACCAAATAGATCGTTTCCTTTCCTAGACCAAGTGTTAGGTTTCTCTGCTTTTATTAAATGTGAATTCTTTAAAAAAAAAAAAAAAAAAAAAAAATAAAAAAAAAAAAACCAACAAAAAAAAGCCTCAACCCTTTGCATCACAGAAGTGAGAACCGTGAATTCAGGGTTTGTTTGTGCTGTGAATAAAATCAGAGCAGCGTGAATGTTTTGTCAGTAGCAATGAGGTTTTTTTCAAAAGACTTTCCAGTTCAAATGAAGACTTCCATTACTAATTGAGAGGAGACAAACAGCTTGCAAATATCTGCTGGCCACCTTCCTGTCCCACAGGAAACCTTCAGCGCTTTCATTCCTGCTTTGCAACCAACACAGGGACGCTCCATCACTGCAGAATGTGACAAAAGACAGGGGGTTGTGTTCTGGTAGCTGAGAGTAGGGGGGGGGGAAGGTCATTTTCTGACCAGCACAGTGTCACTGTGCTTCCAGAAGAGTATTTCAGTGCTGATTTCTGAAGTTACCTTGCTGCTGTTTGCTGAATGAATCTCTGTATGAGAGTGTGCTTATGTTCTTGAGTAGCTCCGTATTTTTATAGTGCTTATAAGTTTCTTTGTGTCGTAAATTACAGCGGGGAAGAGTTCCTAGCTCCTGGGGGCCCCATGGATTTTCTTTTCTCGCCCCTTTTTTGCTCGATGCTGGCTGGGCTGTGCCATTGGCACCGCACACACCGGAGCTCTCGTGTCGCAACGTGAGCAAAGCAGCGGGGCACCGGGCAGCCTGTGGCGGCCATCCCCGAGGTGTGATCAAGCGATAAAGGAAACGTGGTGCCCTGCAGGAGGGTGTGTACCTATGAGGAACAGGAAGCCAGAGGCGGCTGCCTGCCTGCAGAGGTTCGCGGCTCCGGCAGCGCAGGTGTGCAGACGCCGAGCCTCTTCTCTCCGGGCGTCTTGGCAAGCAGGCTCATCTGGAGGGGAGGAAGACAACCCAAAGCCAAAACACCCCCCCCAACAACAACACATAAGCTCTAGGTAGAGAAATATGACAGCCCTGCAGCTGAAGGAGCTGTCACAGTCAGGTCTGTACAGGAGGAGACGGGATCGCCCGGATAGCGTGGGGCTGCCTGTGTCGCAGGAGGAGAAGCTGAGGTGAGTGCGGAACCAGGGGCAGGGCCGGGGCTGCCAGCAGGCGCAATGCCGGCACGACTACACTGCACGTGTGCAGTCCTGAAGCACAGGAGGACGTAGCAAGAGGGATATAGGAAGCATGCAGGGACCATGTGGCAGCGTGACTGCCTTCTGCGTGTGGGATGGGTAGCTGCCAGCTGATGGTGGCACCTCTGCCTCCTCTTTGCCAAGCCAGCAGCTTGCCACAGCCTTGCAGCTTTGCTGATTTAGGATTGTTTTTTTTTTGCCATCTAGAGCAAGGGCAGTTGAGCCCCCCAGGGCAGGGATGGAATACTAGGGAAAGTCAGGCTGTCCCCCAGGTCACAGAGGTGTTCTTCAGGGATGGGGCTGAAGGTACAGAATGCAACCAAGCCACTGGGCCCAGCCATAGGGAGGGAGGGCAAGCAGCAGTTGGTGGCTGTGGCCATCTTCCTGGTGCTATGGCCTCCTGAGCCTGTGTGGGGTTTTCTAAGAGCCTCTGCTCAGAGCAGAAGGAGAAGGGGGTTGTGTGTAACATGAGCAAGTGCAGATACACATGCGAAATGTAAAAATGCTGAATTTATTTTTTCTCAGTATGCTTAGCGTAAAAGCAACCTGTTTCCACGTCAGGCTCCCCGGAAAATATTCTTGTGTAAATGCTAACAGAAGCGTCGTTGGAGAGGAAGCACTTCCTACGCCCCAGTGCCTTTTCTTTCGTTTTATTTTTAGAGTATTTTTCATTGTGGATATTTGTGCATTGCATTGGAGGAGTGTGTAACTTATGTGGGTTTTGTTACTGCACTTTCATTACCAATTCCAGAGAGACAGGCATTCAGAGATTTGTTCTTTTTTTTGTTAGGTGTGCTTAACATCCATTTTGAGTTTTAATTCTAAATGAATTTCTTAGATGGGCTTTTAATAGCACTGATTGATAGTATACTCATATGATTATAGAATAATCACACTTAGTAGATAAAGATGCGCACAGACTCTTGGCTATATTTTGTTTAGTTTCCTTTATGCAACACTAGCTGTGAGGAAGAATATATCTTATTAGGGAAGTGAAAACTGCTTTTTACAGCTTATGAAAATAAGCCATGGTGTTTCTCTTGCATACAGCAGCCTGCTCTATGCACACGAAGGTGGGACCCGTTTGTGGGTGGGAATATGTTGCCTGCACCAGTATGAATCTGAGTGGTTTGATCCTTTCCTGAGCCTCTTCCGGTTCAAGACAAGCAATATGAGACAAGGATTGATCTTGCAAAATAAAATGCAAGCAGAGGAAATGGCAAATCGGGGTACTGGTGAATCAGGTCAGGGCAGAGCACTTGCAGAGGACCAGAGCCCTATTGTGCTTGTCTCTGTCTTGAGCAGTGGGTGCTTAGTCAAAGTAGACCTTGCTCCCTCCTAACCTGTTTTGTTCAATTTCAGTCCGTGTTGCCAGGTAGCCTTATTTTATGATTTCTGCTGCATTCTCCTCAACAGAAGGCTGTGCTATTGTAACTATAAAATAATGCCATAACAACAGGGCCAGGAGCAATTGGAGTGAAGAGAAATAGTCCTTTGATTTTCTAACACTGGAAACCTCTGGCTTTTATCATGTGCTCCTCCCTCCCCAGCGACAAGGATGCCTGTCCTTAGCACATGTTTTGTGAGTATCTAGAGTCCACAAGAAAGACAAGAGGTTTCTTTCATGTCTGCTAAATATAGCTTGCCATCCTCATTGGCTTTGTCATGCCCTCCTGTATTTTCTCCCTGCAGCTCTTTCTTCTGTCTCCTTTGAATATTGTGTGAACATGAATCCAGATGTTCTACATAATATCAGCCCCCAGGAGCAGAGTACTGTAAACTTCTTTCTCAGTTAAACTACTGTATTTTTCTAATCCTAGGCCAAAAAATGTACTTGACTTGGTCATTTCCTTAGGGTTTCCCATACTTAGGGTGCTGTGCTCTTGCACTGGGCTGGAAAGCAATGTGCTCAATCTCCTAAACATGTACAGTGCTTATGTACTACATTTCCAAGAACCTAAGTTTCTTGAAACAGTTTTTCTTTACAGCATAAAAATAGGTTCTCATGTGAACATAACTTCATGCTAGGCTGTGTGCTGTGAGATTCTGAGCTCCATAACAGGAAGCTGATCCTCAGCATCTGTGTCCATTCGTGTTGCTTCAGCCAAAGGTTTGACCCCATCATTGTCTCTCAGATCTGCTATTTAGTTTATGATGAGTCAGTCTCTGAGCACATTTCCCTCAGTCTTTTCCAGGAAGGACCATGGCGGTGTAGCTGGGCTCTTACCGTTAAATTCTGTAGTTTACATTAAAAGCTGAAAAATAAATTTTTACACTTCACAGAGTCTTTCCAACCATGTGCTGAACGTAGGTGCCAGATCATCTCGAGGGGCATTCATGCAGTGTTGGATATCTGTGGGTCCTGAGGGGGCTGGTGAGCTCCAGTCAACCCTGTGGAGGAGAGTGAGGCCATTTCAAGGAAAGCCACTGACAGCCATAAATAGCAGCTCCCAGATCAGTGAGGTAGGGCAGGGCAGATCTCTGAGAGATGGAACAGACACAAAACTTACTGAACTGTGTGCAAGCTGGGAAATCAGCTGCTTTTTAAATTATTATTGATACATTTTCTGAATTGAGGGATAGGCTTATTCTATTCCAGCTATATTAATTTGGTGAATTAAAATAAAAGACATCGCTGATAAATCTTGTCTTGCTCTGTCATTAGAAATGGTGTTCAAAAAATTCCCTAACTGTGCTGAGCTACTCTTTCTTTTCTCAGCAAACAGGATGCAAAGGAAATTGTAAGCATACATTTATCATTAATCATTAGGAGTCACTTAACAGAAGCAGCATGTTCACTATTTTTGCATGTCCCACTTCTATTCTCATGCTCTTTGCAAAATACATAATGATTCCTCTGAAAAAAATGATACTGTATTCCACAGTGGAATTCAAGGCATTGGGAAAAGCAGGGGCAGTTCTCTTTTTAATACTTATGCTTATAATGTTTCATCAAATTCAAATACAATTGAAAGTGTAAATGACTTTAGAAGAGCTTAGTCTCGTGTTTTTACCAGTGAAATTCAGCATTAGCTGCAAATAATCTTTGGCAAGCTTCGCTCAGTGATTGTTAGTTACCCAAACAGTTCACTGCCCTGTTCTCCTATGCAGAAAGCTCAGTAGATACTCTCTACATTAGCAGCGTTAAAGTTTCTGCCCCTTTGTGCTCTACCACTGAAGCTGATGGGTACATCTGTGCAAGTAGGTTGCTGTTTCTGAATTGGCAACTCTGACTTCCTGCTAGGGCAGTTCAGCCTCCTGCCCTCCTGCACACACTGGCTCCAGGCACGTGGACGTGCCCCAAAATTTCATGCACAAAGGCTGCCTCGCAGATGAAATGGGAAACATAAGCACATTCTTACACCCCACTCAGCCTTGGGGGGATAAACTCTGTGCTGCAAAGCTCAGAGAGAATAAAAGTAGGTGAGAATAAAAAGAAATACATGAATACTCGCCCCAGCTGCCAGATAATGGCAGTGTGGTAGGGCCGAGTGTCTCCCTTGCCTTTTGAGATTCTAGGAGTTGTTCAAGCTCAGTAGTCTCCTCAGCCTGCCATCAAGAGCCTATATGTAATAGACAGCAAATTGGTGCAGGTGTTTCAGCCACATGTCCTGCCCAATGACCTCCTGTCCCTGAAGTCAGAAAGAACAGAACTGTAACTGGAAACCTGCATAATTTAATTTGCACTGACAACATTTCTTAATAGCATCACAAATGTTAACATTTACTTAACCTCTTTCTGCAGAGTAAAGAACTGGCTGGAAGGCTGAGCCCAGAGAGTGGTGGTGAATGGTCTTAAATGCAGATGGTGATCAGTCACAGATGATGTTCCCCTAGGGTTGATATTGGGGCTGGTCCAATTATATGTTTATTGGTGATCTGGACAAGGAGACTGAGTGTGATTTCAGTGAGTTTGCCAAGTTGGGGGGAAGCAGTGATCTGTCTGGGGTTAGGAAGACCCTTCAGAGGAAACTGGACAGGTTGGATCTGTGGACTGAGACCAATTGGATGAAGTTCAACAAGTCCCAGTGATGGGTCTTGCATTTTGGTCCCAACAACCCCAGGCATCGCTACAGGCTTGGGGCAGAGTGGCTAGAAAGCTGTGCGGAGGAGGAGGGTCTGGGGGTGTTAGTTGACAGCTGGCTGATTATGAACCAGCAGTGTGCCCAGGTGACCAAGAAGGCCAGTGGCATCCTGGCTTGTATCAGAATTAGTATTGTCAGCCAGAGCAGGGAGGTGATTGTCCTCAGCTCTGGTGAGGCTGCACCTCAGGTACTGTGTTCAGTTCTGGGCCTCTCACTGCAAGAAAGACAGTGAGGCCCTGAAGTATGTCCAGAGAAGGGCAACAGAGCTGTGGAGAGTCTGGAACACAAGTCTTACGGGGAGCAGCTGAGGGAACTGAAATTGTTTAGTCTGGAGAAGAGGAGGCTCAGAGAGATCTCATTGGTCTGTACAATGACCTGAAAGGAAATTGTGGCACAGTGGGGGTCGGCATCTTCGCCTAGGGAACAGTGATAGAATGAGAAGTGTGGAGTTCAGATGCATTTCTTCTCAGAAGGAGTGGGGAAGCAGTGGTGCAGGCTGCCCAAGGAGGGGGTGGAGTGACCATCCCTGGATGTGTTCAGAAACCATGTGGATGTGACACCGAGGGATGTGGTCAGTGAGCATGGTGGGGGTGGGCTGCTGGTTGGACTGGATGATGTTAGAGGTCCTTTCCAACCTTAATGATTCTCTCATTCAGTTCAGCTTCCTCGTAGTGCCGGTATTAGTGAGTAAAGCAGTAATATTTCAGTATGTTGTTAAAAAAAAAAAAAAGAAAGAAAGAAAAAAGGAAAAAAAATCCAATTTGTTAAATCATCAAAAGCTTGAAAATAAATGTTCAGTCGCAAAAAAAAATGCAGTTCATCACTGTGGTGGTTAGAAACTGCTGGAGTAATACAATTGGGACCTGAAAATATCAATCTGAAGCAGATGCTTTGGAAATCCTGGTTAAAAAAACGCTTTGGCTCATCCGCTAGATGCTCTAATTGAGAAGAGTACTTGTCCATGTAAATGGTAGCATTGAGTTTTTATTGCTATTAATTATAGTAACTTCCAGCCAGCAAAAACGTGTTTCACGGTTCCATTTTCATACTTCCACACTTAGAGCTTGTGAGATATCCAAATGACTAGAGGCCGTGCTTTTCATTTGTGCTTTTCATTTCATTACTTCAGGGGTTAAAATAACGCACACCAAACACACCCTATTTCTCTTGCCTTCTTGCTCACCCCTTGTCTTTCAGATTGCATAATAACCCCAACGCAGTTTTGCTTGACTTGCTCACCCTGGCTATAACCTCCTGTGACTCCAAATGACTGGAGGTAAATGCCTGCGTGACAGAAACTACTGCTGCTCCTACGTTTGCTTCATTGTAACAGTCAGCAATTTCCGCAAATTTGTTGAGCTTCAGTGATGATAGCAACTAGGATCTTTGTTGCTCTGAGAGCATTATCTGGGGAAGTATAAATTGTAGTTTTGGGGTTTTTTTTTTTTGCATTTGATTTCATCTGTTTTGATAGCATCTTATCAAACATTCTTTCCAGAAAATATAACGTGATTGCTTATTGCTCTTCATTGTAATTTAGTTCTCCTTTGAATGAAGTCCGTCACACTGGACTGAATTTACGCATGGAAATACTCTGCAGAGGAGAGGCTAAATTGTGAAAGCTAATATGTAGACGTCACAATCTATTAAACAGCCAGTCTGCAGGTGCTGGGGAGAACAAGCTTGGAAAGGGTGTAGTACTGGGTTTCTCTCCTGTTTTTCTCTTCCGGTGTCTCTCAGCTGTTCCACATGCCAGGCTGACGGGTGTCCTCGAGGGACCCATATGCTGTTCCATGATGCTCTCCAGATGCAGAAGCAGCTCTAACAGTGCCCAAGTGCAGGAGACAGAGAAGAGAGCGGGCCTTTTATGGGGCTTCCCTGGGTGGTAATCCCAGCTTGCAGCCAGCGGTGGCTCCAGGGCTCCCCAGACACTCTGTGACATTCTCTGATGCTTTTCCATCTCCTAGCTCCTCCACTCTCACCTCGCACCCAGGAATCTCAGGGTGCTTCCCAAATGCAAGTGATGCTCTGAATTTTGGTGTGCGTTATCTAGTGTTACAGTGCACGTCATTCACTTTTTCTTTGCTCATTTTGTCATAGGAGGTGCAGGCACTGGTCATTTTTCATCTGTGTATTTGCCATCTTTGTAGAAAGTTCTGGGTTTAGGTAGCTCTTGACAGCATTCTGAAGTAATGATTTCATACATATTGTCCTGTGAGCAGTGGTTTTAGATGATGCTGCTCAGCTGTGCCATGAGACTGTATGTTGCTTTGAGATTCATCCTTATATATGAACAAGATGAAGCATCATAACATTGACAGGAGCTTTTTTGCCAACGAAAGGGACTTGCTTCATGATTTTTGTGATGTTTCCTTGTAGTTTTCCTGCTTTTTCTGCGTGCTCTGGTCGTGATATAGCTAGAAGAAAATTAATTAAAAGTTTTTAGCTATTAGCCTCATAAAAAATAAAAAGAAAGTAACAAATTGGCAGAAAGCCAGTGATAGTTGGCAGTATTTCTCAGTTGTGCCTTTCTAAATAAAAGATCCAAGAGATTCAGCTCTTCCAGCAAGGAATGTATGGATGAAGGTGAAGCTGTTGTCTTTTCTAGCCAGTAAAGTCCATGCACACTGTGCTCTTAAACTCTGTTCCTATGCAACTAATAGAAAAATGTTACCCACTTGGAGTAGTGACTCAAAACTGCCCTTGCTTATTCTGCTCTTTTTCCGTACGGAAAGTTTGCATTTCAAGCTTTTTGTTTCACGTGGTGTTCGGCTTTTGGTATGTTGTTTTGTACATTCTTCCTTGATGGCTTCAAAGACTGAAGCATACATTATGTTTCTAATATCTTTAACAAGCTGTTCCTTACATGTCTTCTTCTTTTCATAAGGTGCATGCCAGCACTGCAGCCTTGGTATAGCTCCGGTGGCAACCTAGCTGCAAGTTAGGAATTTTGCCTGAAGTGTACAAGCAGTTGCTTACTTTTAGACAGCATTCCCTTTTTAAGCTAATCCTCACACTATACCCACACCTTCAGTGTTACGTAGCAAAGAGGAAGGAGGTTTGGTAGGGCTTGAGCCCCCTGATTCAAAGCAAAAAGCCCTGCCTGCACTCTCCATTCCCTTTTATTCTGCTGAGCAGATTGCCCAGTGAACCCCAGCTTCGCTCCCTCAGATAAGCCTGGTAAATGTGAACTTCTTCCATTTTTCCTCACGAAGTTGCTTCTGGTATCACAAGCGTGTGTTGGATTCATTCAGTCCTGCTTCACTCACTTAGGATCCGTCAACTGTTGGGGTGAAAATTTAATTACAAAAAATTTTTTTAATCTTGCAACTAAGCCTTTGGATTGGAAAATGCTTGGCAAGTGTTGCTATTCAGTAACTGTTACTGGAATTCCTTTGTGCTAACTTGAAATGTGTGAGACCCATACCCAATAGCTAATAAAATACAGGATGAAGACCCTTGCTTTGCGTTACACAAAATTTTGTGACTGTCATAATGGAGTGTAAGGGTACTGCTATTTTGGATTAGCTTTATTTCTCAATATATGACTCATGCATGACTCTTAGGAACACAAATTGCTTCTGATTATTCTCTTTCATCTGTTGAATATTAGTGCCAGTGCTTAATTTTGCTGTAATAGCTGAAGATGGCTTAGCTGCCTTCCCTCTTGCTGGTTTTAAAGCTGGGTGAAACTGCAGTGAACATGTGAAGAAAAAAATGGGAAACCAAACCCCAGAATGACTCACAATTGCAATTTAATTTGTGAGTGAAGCGAATTAAAAGAGGAAGAGCTGAGAAGACGTTTCCTTTACCACGTGCTGCCTTCTACCCCAAACAAATTGTTTAATTCAGGAAGTGAAAAACTCCATCGTTACAAACCTGAGACTAGAAAAGCAGACTTAGTGAAGGTGAAAAAATTCTTCTGAAGGTGCAGATTAGTGGCAGTATTGAGAAGGATCTGGGAGACGAGCAAGTGCTGTCCCTCAGCACCCAGGCTGAAGGTCAGTCCTTAGCACGTTGTCTCCAGTGCAGACATTGCTATAATAAGAGCATCATTTACAGCCAAAAAGTCTGCTGCTGGCTGTCATTTCAGCCCTATAAGGAACTTCATGGACATTGTGGAAGTCTTTCCTGGCAGGCTGGATGTTACTTTCAGTCAAGGAATTAATTATAGCTCTTGGGTGAGCTGTTCAGGTCAGAGGGCTCGGTTTGTAAAAGCATTGGTACCAGCCGGTGCAGGTGGACAGTGAGGGCAGGAGCAAAGATTGATATCTCCCTTTACTTGAAGGATTCAGGGATGTGTTTGTAGTGAATTTTAGTAGCAGGGGACATGAACTGAATATTAGTGCCAGGAAAATGTTATTTTTGAGAGATTTCCTAAGGTTTGAAATGTCAGGAGATGGAAAGATCAACCTTGTACGTTTTTATGTATTTGGACTTTGAATTTGTTCCTTAAGCAAGGGAGGAGGAGCACACGAACACTTAATTGTAATTTGGTTGCGATTGTCTGACTGCTCTCAATTCTCTTTCACTTTGCTTTCTACTGCTTTGATTTGCAAAGGTTTAAGTGTTATCCTGCCCAAACGCTTTCAAATGTTAGAAGTATATGAAGTTGGTGTTCTGATGTTTACATCCAAATAGAAATATTCTTTCAAGCTTACTGGGCCTGATTTTGTCTCCTTGTTGATGAAAATTCATTTTAGAGTGGGTTTCTTTTTTATTATTCTTTCGTTAGGCAAGAGGATAGAAATTATATTATATGAAATGCATGGTTGTAAATGCATCTTTAAAATTTATTGAGTTGGAAGAGTTTGGGTACAGTACATTTAGCCCAGAGAAGTACCCATACAGTTAACTACACAGTAGGCATATGGTAAAAATGACTGTGATCGGATGCCATGTCTCTTGTAGCACAGATTTTCTAGTGCACCTGTGTAACACCTGGCCTTTTTGTTTTGTTTTTATCTCTGTATAAGATGCAAAAATAGTAGCAACGGAAGAAATGGCCCTTTCAGAAAGGATCAAATATCTGTGCTCATTAGAAATCATTTTACACAAATCGTGGCTTCATTTGGTAATGTTTGCAATTAGCAGGAAGACAATACTGTAGGCTGTTTTTTTTGTTTGGTTGGGTTTTTTTGTTTTTAGTATTTAATGCAACAGAAAATTACTACAACTAAATATTGCTCTCCCTTTCTATGAACCCTGTTAGAGACTAATTTCCCACTGTGCTTGTATGGCTGATGAAAAAAGCTGTGTGGGAAGGTGCTGCATACCTGATTACTCCAGTCGTGTTCATTTCCTTATGAAGAGATGGAATGTGAACCTTCTCCACTTGCAGAGACCAAAGCATATTTTGGACATGTTTATACTGGAATACGTTTATACTGAAGTATTTGCAACAGATAGAGTTGTCTTTTTGTTTGCCCTGCTTAAACTCCCACCACAGAAGCTTAATCATGCTTTCTGTGGCTAATGCCAAATGATGAAACTTTCAGGACCGCTTGGAATTCACCTGGTTTTTATTGCAGTGGTTTCAAGGTGGTTTGCCATCCTTTTCAACAGAAGCAGAGCAGTGCTGGGCACATGAAAAGCCTACATATTGTGTACGTCTTCGTTATGGAAAAGATTTACTCCTTATTTCCAATTGCTTGTAGAGATGAACAATTACAACAAGCAGAACCCAGGAGTGTTTTCAATGTCAGTAAAGAAGACATAAAAGACCAATTAGCACTTAAAAGGTCAGTGCAGAAATCAGCACGTGGCACTCCAGATTCATGCTGGTTTAATGGCAAAGCTTCTCCTCTAGTTGTTCTGCATTTTGCATGCTACAGTTAAAGTGAAATCACCCCTACCTCTGTGGGAAAGGGAGGGCTGCGTTCTGTTTGCTTATCCATCCCGACGGGGTGCTTGGCTTCCTGAAAGCAGTGGTGATGCAGCAGGTTTGCTCTCAGCCGGCAGCGTTATTTCGGGGCACCGGGCAGACTGCCAAGCAGCAGCTGCCTTTGCCAAGCACCTTGTTTGGAGCAGTGACTGCTGAGCACTTCTATTTGGGGAATGGAGCAAGGCACTCGGCAGAGCTCGCAGCCTCCCAGCCTTCTCTGTAAGAGTCCCTGTCCACTGGCACCAGTGGGCAGCCAGGAAAGTTCTCCTGAGAAAGCAGTTTTTCCTGGTGGGAGCGGAGAAACCACAAAGAGGCACATTTGATTTTCCTACTGTTTTTCACAGCGGTAGTGGTATGCTTCCCCTCCTCTCTCTGCCTTTTTCTCTTGTTGTCACCTCAGCCATCAGCTTTGGCATCTGCTGAGACCCCCCATGTACCAATGGGAGCCACTCTGTCACCTTCCTCCCTACTTACCTCCTCCAATTCAACACTGACCTTCTCCTTGCTCTCCCTACCAAGGCAAGTAGGTCTTGATGCAGCTCTGGGGAATGTCAGCAGCCCCTCCTGGCCTGATGACTCCTCACTCCCTGGTCCATGGCACCTTAGGGTTACGCTGAGCTACTGGTGAAGATACAAAAGGTCTTAGCCTGGTGTAGATCATAGCAGCAAAGTGACAAAAAAAAAAGAGAGAGAAGGATGATCAGCTACTCTGCATTTGTGGATTACCAGACTATCCCAGTAGAAACTGTGTTTTGTTTTGGTAGCCGGAAGGCCCTTTTTAAACTCCTGGCAAGCTTTTTTATTCCCTCACAGGGAAGGAGTCAGGAGTAACTCCGTTAGCAGCAGTGCCAGAGGTCTGCAGAACAAGTCTGCTCGTGCCAGCAGGCACCTCAGTGAGCACAGAAGAAATGGGTGCTACAGTAGGAGGAGAAGCCTTTCTCTCCAGCACTGCTTCCTGCAGCAGTGCTCCAGCAAGGACATCATGACCTGTAGCTATGACCCAAGCACTGCTTCCTCTAGAGCTTGTCCCACAGCAGATAAATGTAGGGCTTGAGCTCCAGCCTCCTTGGCCTGTTAAAACCTGCAGCTCTCAGTGATTCTAAGATGGATAATCAGACCTGCGGGTGCATAAACACACAGGTCATGCTTCCTTGGCCCCACCTGCCGTGATGTCTTCTGACACACGGGAGCAGCTTGCTTGGAAGCCACCAAGGGGGGTTAAAGGAAGACCCCTGACCAAAACCATTTCTGAAATCTGGCTTATTTGGTTTTGCTTTCCAGAAGAAAACCTGTAGCACTGCATTGGCCAGGCCATGGGAAGACAGCGATTTGTGAACACAGGTTTGTGCTGTGAGCAGCATGTCCTCTGCTGGGCACTCACTCAGTTACTCCAGCCAGTGCTGAGGCATGTGGTCCAGAGCTCACTCAAGGCTCAAGAGTGAATTTCTTAGTTTTTTTAGGTGCTGGAAGTGTATGAACAAGTAGTAGCCTTGACTGGGATTTCTGACACATCCTTTGTTATCTTCTATTTCTGATTTCTCTGCTTGTTCCCTCTAGCCTTCTTCCTGTCCTTTTGCACTTTCTTTTGCTCCCTGAAACTTCTCTGGATACCAGCATGCTTTGTGTCACGAGCACAAAATGCATGTGCCTTTGCTGCCTGATCAGTTGCTAACAAAGCTGTGTTCATTTCATGCAAAAGGTAGTTACCCAGGACTATTTTCCAGAAGCCCTTTTTGGTTTTGTTTGATGTTACATGTTCCTGGAAGCTGCCTGTCCCAAGCAAGGTGGAGCTTGCAGGAGGACAAACCTGCAACTGGTGATACCATTCCCAGTAAGGAATGCAAGATAGATTTTTGAAGAGAGCGTAACTATAAAATAATTGCAACATTGGGAGGACTTTCTGTGGTGAAGGAATGATTAATTTTCACTCTTGCTTCTTTCTTCCTGGTCTTGCTTTCTTACTTCAGCATTTAAATATATGGGGCATCCTTGTGTTAAGTGATTGTTCTGAACACAGCACAGTGCTGAAAATCGAGCTCCATTTCAGTTCCTTCATCTGCTGCCTATTATAGCATACTTGCCACTTCAGTTAACAGCCTGTGAGGCAAAACAGAAAACAAACTGTCCCTCTGTATCTATGTTTTCTGTGAAGTGCTGACAAGAAGGAAGATGCCTGTAGATAAATGCAATGTATATGACTTAGAAGATATAAGTGGAGCATTAAAGGGCATTTTTACAGTGTAATTATTATATCCAAGCATGAAACAATATTTACCTAATGACAGAAGCCTCCTCTTCGTGCTGGTTAGGTCATGACAAAGCGGTGTTGGAATCCACCTCCATCCCCTCAGCAGACAGGAGCTGTGGACAAGTTTGCTGAGGTTCATGTTGGCTCACATAGGTTGCTCACAAAACAGCTCTCCGGGCCCAAGAGGATTTCTCCATCAGCAGCCAGCAGCAAAGCCCCTTTCCAGCATCTGGGTGTGCATGACAGCCCGGTGCTGGAATGTGCTCCTCCGCAGCCCAGCTTTTAACTTGAAGCTCTGGCAGGGCACTGGGTAGCTCTGGCTCAATGACACAGAGCTGCTGAAAGTCAGTCACTTCGTTTGGGAACAAGGGGAAGCCCGGCACATTGTTCTGCTGCCTTTGCCTCCAGCTCCCTCACGATATAAGCACAGAATATATATAGCCGTGATAGCAGCTAGAGAAACATGGACTTCCAGCATAGAGGTCACCCCTACGCGATACCAGAGGATGAAGAGATCGCTCACAGGGTCTCTCACAATGCCTACAACTCGGCGGGAAATGAAGGCGAGAAACCAGTGTCGAAACTGCAGCGTAGGCACAGTGACATTAAACTCTACAAAGAGTTTTGTGACTTCTACGCAAAATTGTAAGTCCGCGCTGTTCAGCTCTGGGCTGTAACTGCAGTGACATTACTGGCATACCGTCGCTGTGTTTTTTGCCGTCTGGGCTCTGTAAGCCATACTCTAAGGCAGCCTTTACCACAGTTCTGTGTTTGATACGTTGCCAGTTGTAATCATCAACTAAAATTTGAGCTGGTGCCATGAACTTAATCAGTAATTGCGTCAGAAGTTTTTATTGGGGTTTGAAGCAGGGTTGGTATTTGCCAAGTAGTCTCTGAGTTCACTTTGTTTGCTTGTTTTGGGCAAACGTGCAGAGTGTTTCACTAATGGAGGACTGTTGCATGCATCACTGTTTTTACATACGTGTTTTTACTTGGATTACATTTTTTCTCTGACAGCACTTAGCATTAAATAACTTACAAGTTTAACATCCTTAATACTCAGGAACTGGTGAGGTGATGGTGAGGCTCATGGTTTATGTTGTGATTACTGCTCATTCAGATTAACTCAGGATGGGTGAAGTGTCTGGCTTTTTTCCCCCTGCAGAAAACATATGTAATCCGTGTAGCCCATTGGCTAACTGTATGCTTAACTACACTTTATACATACGATCACTGCCGCTTTTCAATATGTTGATCTCTCAAGTGTGAAATAGACTGTTCCTCAGTCTGACCTCCTTCGTGAAATTTGGCCACTCACTGTTTTGCTGTAAGGACAGTGAGTATTTTGATGGCAGAGTTGTCTTCTGCAAAGTGCTTCTGAGAGAGAAAAAAAAGATACAGCCAATAATAACTGGTCGGATGTGACCTTGTGTAGGGCTCTTCTGTGGTACAGTGTAAGCAATAGATAAAGCACATTCCTTTTGGAGCTATGTGGTAGGTGTATACTTGCTAACTCGAATGTTGTGCAAGGACTGAATTCAATTCCTGTCAAGCCTGAAGGGAGCCAAGAGGTGTTATCCGCTCAGAGGGCAAGTCTTGGCATCTTAGAGCTCCACACTGGCAAATGCAGCAGGAGATTTCTTTACTATATCCAAATCTGTGCCTGTGTGTAAAATAATGTCCCAGTAATTGCCCAGACAGTGCTTTTGTCAGTTGTGGTCAGATTGTATGAAACTAGACTATTGCCCTGTATTTGCTCTCTGCTATCAAGTGATATTAGGGCAGAGAAATAACCCTGAAAGGCATAGCTTTGAGAACCCAAGTATTAGTAAGAAGGCACTTGCAAAGGACAAAAAAGTGACCCTTTTTTGGTACTAGAGCCTTAAGTGTAAGACAGCTGTACTGACTGTTGCATAAGTGAACACAATCCTAATGAAGTTGCAATCCCCCTGATATTTCCACACTCATTCTATGGTCACATGCCTTTGAGAAGCAATCAAGATTGCTTTTTGAGCTTTTCTTTTTTTTTTTTCATCACCAGTTTGTGTTGCCCTGTGCCTGGGTCATGGTGGAGCACCCCAGCTCTGCAGCTAGAGCATTCCCACCTTCTCCTTGTCCTTGATCTGGTGCTGGGGTGCTATGATCTGCTTTTATGGAGATGAACCCTAACAAACCAACCAAAAATCCTATGACTTTAAGCTATTATTTCTACAAGTTGTATATGGCGTGAAGTGATTTTACAGATTTGATTGTTTACCTGCTGTGGTTTACAGTAATCTGCCAGACAAAATATTTTAAACTCTTCCACGTTGCTTGCTTATAGCTTTTGAATTAATGTTGTTACATGCTCATATTCTAGAATTCTCATATTCTAGAATTATGAATTATTTCAGAATTAACGTTTATATTTTCTAATGTGAAGCCCTCAATTATTGCTAACATTTGCCCTTATTTTCTGTAATTCAAATGTGTTCCATGACTTTTATATAAGTTCTTTGAATTACCTGCCTTTTCTCATCATAAAGAGACAGCAAATTCATCTGTGACAATAATCAGTAGTTATTAGAGCACATTGTGGGGTTGTTATTTCCAAAGTGTTTGGAGCCAGAGGGAAACAACAGTTTTATTTCTAAGGGAGCACCACAAGTCATTGAGTTCATGGAAAAGTTTTCAGTGGGCAGCCTAGCATAAGGCCGATGCCATCGGCTTTGGAAAAAAATAGAGAGCCAGAATCAGTTGTGCTGCCTTTGGGGCTCATTTTCTTTCTGTTTCTTGTTTCTGTACAGCAACATGGCAAACGCACTCGCAAATGCCATCTGTGAGCGCTGCAGAGGGGGCTTTGCACCAGCAGAGAAAATTGTCAACAGCAATGGTGAGCTGTACCACGAGCAGTGCTTCGTGTGTGCCCAGTGCTTCCAGCAGTTTCCTGAAGGGCTCTTCTATGAGGTAAGCTGGGAGAAGTAACTACAGACTAATCGATACTTCAGCAAGTGTTGTTGAAGAAATGGAGTTCCAAACGATTATGCCTGGTATAGGGGAGAAGAAAGAAGAAATGTTTATGTGCTTGTTTGAAGTACATCAGTGTGTATAACCTTATTTAAGTGTGTAACTTAGTGTTACTAGGGCTGAGAGAAGAACTCTTGGAGATTTCTCTCCCTGTGCGTGTTTTTTTTTCCTTAAAATCTATAGACTGTATATTGTATCAGAAATACAGGAAAAGCATTCTTCTTAGAAGAGAGTCATCAAAGGGAAATGCCAGCATCCTGCAGTCTTTAGGAGGTTTATTGCTGAGTGAGTGAGTGAGTGAGGCCTGCACAGCTTCTGAAATACTGTTTGTAGAGATGACCTGTAAGCCAGCGTGCTGAGATTGAAGTGTGTTGACAGCCAAAATCAGATGATGCCTGAGTGAGATAAACCCAGCATTTAATATACCCCACTCACCTTTCTTTAACCCTAGGTGTAAGGAAGGGTAGATCATGGGAGACAGGGTTTTATCATTATTATTACCTGATGCTTGTGGATGGCTAGCTGAGGTTCAAACAGATTAAAGGCAGAGTTCTCAAAATTGTTAAACGTTTAGTTGCTTCTGAAAATCCTGTTCTAACCCACTTCACATGCAGTGCCATCATTGTGTCAAGAGCACATTTCATTTTCTGCAGTGGTGTTTTTAATTATGCTGTATGGTTTGGAGAAGGAGACTGGGCGAGGAGTGTTAATTGGAAAAGGAGGCTGGCAAAGGGGATTCCTGGTCTTGCTTTCTCTCACCTTGCTTGAGGATCAAAAGGTTTCTCAGTGCAGTAGAGATAGTGTTGAACGATTTGTGGCAAAATGAGCCAGCAGTGGTCCATGACACATCAAAAGGTGGGCTGCAAAACAGTAGCAATTAAGGAAAGACAAAACAAAACACCCCTTAGATACTTACACCTTGCATTATTATTGTTAGTATTCTATGAGTTGCTCCCAGCTTGCAGGCATGGTGAAGAGTCTGCCATGACATGTTAAGACCTGAGTCAAATATGAAGTGATACATACGTTTTAAATGATAAAACTGTCTTAAAAGAATAAAATGTATTTTCTCTAAATAATGAGCACTTTATTCATCATTTTTCTGACTCTCAAATAACAGTGGGACAATTCACAGACCTCTTTCAGAAAGTGGAATGGTCTTTTGAGGCAGCCTGTACCTCCTAGAGCACAGATAGAGGTGGGCTGCAGTGGAAAGAAAGTCTTGTGTTTGCACCTGGTCTAGGAATGTTACAACCTTTCTGTTGCTCATCAGTGACCATAGCTGTGTGACATATTTGGCAGGGGCAAGCGATCTGATGGTTTTTAGTTACATTGTTAAGATTTGTATTCATTAAGTCAGAAGTGAACTCACTGGTTGTTTTGGGAATAAAAGAAGGCTGGTGTACTTATTAGATATGTTTTTGTTTAAATTGCTAATTATTTTTTTTTCAGGTTAGGTTGAGGTTTGCAGTGACTTTGTTCTTGAGAAATGTTACACAGAAAGTGGAAAGTTTAAGTTAAAAAAAAGTGATTATCAAGACTAAGAGAATACCCAAAGACTTATGTGTGGCTTGAACTTCAGGCCATTTTTCTGCCTCAAGTCCTTCTAATGTCTACCACAAGGTCTTGCAGTTTCTCCCTACATCAGCAAGTCTATCTGCTGCTGTTGAAGAGAGGTACTTTCCAGTCTCTGTAAGTGCTCTGACAAGCATCAGAAGATGGTTCATAAATATCACCCAGCCCTCCACCCACATTTATATTGGCTTGTGCTTGATGTCTTCTACAGAGTGAATATCCATACTGTGCTAGCCCCTGTGCCTTTTGGGCAGGTTAGAAATGTTTGACAGAGTCCTCTGCACTCTCCAGATATTCCATGCTGCCTTCACAGCTTTCACTTAGCACTGAAGTGGTCCTGAGATTGCAGTGGAAACCTTGGCACAGTTTTTGTGTTGCTCATGGAGAAGTGGAGGCAAGCTTGCTCTTCTTTCATGCAGTGTGGTTTAGCACCTCAGCATGTGTGTTGGGAATATACCAGCTGAGAGCATTTCGGGGAGAGAGAGGAACAGGAACAGCCCTAAGCAGATAAAGGGTAAGCTTAGATTGGCCAATGGTCAGGAGATGGCTGGCAATGAGTAACTGAGGTGATCTGTTATCTCTGTGAGGAAATAGTGACTGAAGAGGGCAGTCGCTCACTCTACTCAGTGCTAGTGCGGTCTCACTTAGATTACTGTGTGCAGTTTTGGGCACACAACATAAAATGGACATAAAACTATTAGAGAGTATCCAAAGAAGGGCTACAGAGATGGGGAAGGGTCTGTAGGGCAAGATGTGTGAGGAGCAGCTGAGACCCCTTGGTTTCTTAAGCCCAGAGCAGAGGAGACTGAGGGGGAGTGGGCATAGAACAGGCTGCCCAGGGCAGTGGTCACGGCCCCGAGCTGCCAGAGTTCAAGGAACATTTGGACAGCACTCTCAAACACAGGGTCTGATTTTTGGGTGGTCCTGTGTGGAGCCAGGAGATGGACTTAGTGATCCTTGTGGGCCCCTCTCAATTCCAATTGTGGTTGGACTAGATGATCTTGCAGGTCGTTTCCAACCTTGCGATTCTATGATTCTATGATTCAGGATATTCTGTGGTTGTAAGTAAGAAAAGATATCTTCCTTGGACTGGCGTAATGAACGCTTTAAAAAGATGCATGTGGAGATGTGGACAGGTAATGTGTTTTTCTGAGCAGGTTCCCCTTGGGTAAACACATGCATTGTTGTTAGCCCTGCATTAGATGATGTTTATTCTGTACCCAGTTCAGCTAAGCTAGAGTTTCTTGGAAAAGACTTGGGGAGTTTAAATATTCTTCCTGTGCCTATCGCAAGCATTGCAGAGTTTCCCCAGTTAGTCATTAAACCGCTTATCACATTTGCACTCAAGTGTTGCCATAAGTTTTCATGCTCTGCTCCACCATGGTGAGGCAGAACCGGTTAGGCTACTCAGGAAGCAAAGCTGGTATCTCTGCAGAATGCAACAGAAGGCTGCTTTCTCTGCAGTTGCCATCAGAGTTTTATAATAGACAGCAGTGCACAGTCCAGTACTGACAGTGGAATAACAGCCCATTTGCATGGGTAGCTTTGGTGGCACCTTGCCCAGAGGGACTGGTTTGCCCCATTGCAATTACTCAGTGGGCTTTTTCACAAGACCTTGCTACTCTGGGCTTCAGAAATGGACCTCCCTAGAGGTCCTTCCCAGTGGGAACTGTGGGCACCTTGCTTTCAAACAGAGGTGAATACTACTTGTAGCACAGCCATTTGTTAAAAACCCTTTTGGGACCCTTATGAGCCTCCCAGGAGCCCTTGGGCATCTCTTTGCACTGTTTCAGAAAAACTCCAGCCTCCTCTGTGCTGTGCTGGGGGAGGGAAGATGGAAGGGTTTAGAGACGCGCATTCCACAGTAGAAGAAATGCAACAAAATCCTTATGAAGCTACCTGTTTGTTTTTATGTTTCTAATATTCTATAACAGAATAAAAGGAAAGTGCAGCTGCAGTGAACTTCTCACATTTATTTCTATTCCATTTCAATCTGGAGTGTGTTCTTTAATTGAGCTTTACCAGAAACTACCCTAGAGAAAGCATCTGTAAAATAATCGGGTTTTGTGCAAGTCTTTCCAAATTATAGGTTAGTAAAGATGTGGAAATCAGCTGGAGGTAATGTTGTGGTGGAGTGTCCTATGCAGAACCATAGAATTAACGGACCTCTACCATACAACAGTCCAATGATCTTGCTGTTAAAATCTATGCTGTGTCATTTGTCTCAAAAATTCAAGACTTTCTCTAATGGAGGAGCTGCTGGATCATCCACAAATGCTGCACAAACAAGCCAAGAATGTTGAAAATAGAAACAAAAGCAAATAGTAACCAACCTGCCTGACAGAAACCTGTTTTGTCTGCCCAGATCAATTTGTGGCTCTGAAATCCAAGCAAACATGTGCATCTCCCAGTGTACCAGCTGATTACACAAGGCTGGAAGCTTTCTGGTGGTGGTTTTTTTTTTTCAGATTAAAAAGAATTACATTTGGCAGGAAGCAAGCACAGTTCTCAATGAACTAATAGTTACCATTACTCTTTGAGACACTAATAGTCCTCTGTCTCTTAATTAAAAAAAAAAAAACAAAAAAAAAACAAAGAACAACAGAAACAATACTTCCAATTAAAAAGTCATCTGTTTTAGAGTATTAAAAGCCCTTGATGAATTGCTAGAATAGGCTTCTGGAAAGAGACCATGCAGCATGCATCTTTCTGATCCTTGTGTAAGTGAGATTCAGGCTGGGCACAACAATTAAGTTTCTGATCTCACATTTTCAGTGATTTCTAAGTGGTGATGGTGGCTGCATGAAATCCTGCCAGTGGTTCTGTATATTGCACTGTATTACTGTACTTATGTTTTATTTGATCCTTGAAATTTCAGAGTGCAAAAGGATATATATGGCTGTATTTTCTATCCATGCATCAAAACTTAATTTGTGGGTCATATGTTACGCTATTTGCTTTGTTTTGTGTTAGATTCAGTACAAAGAAAGGAGTGGGATTTTCCTGCTGTGCTTCTTTCCAGGTTTTTTTAACTTAAGACATTCAAATCCAAACATATCTAATATTATCTGTCTGGTTTTAACATGCTGGCTGGCATATGTGTGTACCAGTGGTGTGCCTGAAGGTATCTAAACATTTCCCATTGCTTTAGGACATACTTGTCTACATGTTCTTACATATTCCTCAGTCAGATTGCTAGTGCAGTGCCATACAATTTTTTTTCCAGATGGTTTTTTTCTTTTCCTGTATGAGCATGACCTGCAACTGAACTTCTCTAAGCTCTGAGAAAATTCAGCTCTAAATCACTTCAGATCAGCTCCTTATTCCAGCCGATTCAGAGAATTTTGTTCTTTAAAATTTCCTCAAACAAACATTGTGAAGGAAAGGCATGATTTCTTTTTGTGTTTTGCCCCGCAGTGCTCCATGAATTGCAAAGTTTCTGTCCCTGGGTGTTCTTCCTTCCCCTAGACTTACTTCCTCCAGTGCGCTGGGCCATTCTTACAGGAAACACAGAGTGAGGAAGGGATCAAATGGGTTCAGGGAAAATGCTTCCCCCCAGGAAAAGTTTTCAAAAGCTAATTTCCTGCATAGAATTCTGTCTGCATCAGATTTTCGTTAGTCTCTCAAAATTCAGGCATCTGTGGTGATACAAAAGAAGGTGGGTTACACTCTCAGCAACACTAAAGGAACGGTGTTATATTAACAACAGTATCTGAATTAAGGTGAGTGAATTTCATGCCTGTTTTTCTAGCACACAGTCAGGTTTGCTTATAATGCAGCTCCTTATCCTCTACTATTCAGTTGCTTGTGAAAACAACCTGCTGTGTTACAGTATTTATGTCAAGGGCATGCTCCTAACCTCTCTTGCCTTGTTTTCCATTTGCAGTTTGAAGGGAGGAAGTACTGCGAACATGATTTTCAAATGCTTTTTGCCCCTTGCTGCCATCAGTGTGGTAAGTTTTACATTCAGGTGAAATATTTCACACTGATCACAAATGGGAAGTCAACATATGTTGCTGGGGGAAGATGTGCAGCCCTGTTGTATCTCCTCTGGGAGATGGCCCCACACAGCAGAGGAACTTTCAGAATGAACTTCAGTGAACGTAGAGAGTTGCTTTTCCTAAAGGTCATCAAACAGTAGGTTTAAAAAAAAAAAAAGGTTGCATTATTTGCATGAGTAGTTTAACTGTTCATCCAGTGAGTCAATGAGCAGCCCATTCATGAGCTCCTGATTTTCTGCATCCACATGCATGTACTCACGTGTTCCTTCTCATGCAGCTGAAACCCTCTCGCAACTCTTAATTTGTTTTGACCACTGTAACCTATCCATGCTGTCCTCCTCTGTAGAAGCAGAGGCAGTCTTTATCATCTAGTGATATCACCAGCTTTCTATTTTTGACACAAATTCCTTTAAGTCTTCAGCATCTGTTGTCTACCCTGTGTAACACTGAGAGCTGCGTTTTATTTGCTGCTATTGAGTAAATGCTTGCATGTCTGCTACACTGTAATCAAATGCAAGTTTTCTTTTACACCACATTTGCTGTGTGTGAGACATTTTGCTTGGTCAGGGTTGAGAAGTCATTGCTGTACCCTTGCTTGATCAGGTATGGAAGCTCTTATTTTTCTGAGGCACCTGGGGAAGCTGCTACAACTTTCACTTATCTTAGGAAGTCCTTTCCCTTGTGCAGAGGGTGTGGTTGGATGCTGGAAGGATGGGAAGCAGATGTTCTGGACCTTCGGATTTACAGCTGCAGATTTGAACAAGCAGGGGAAGAGGAAGAGCTCAGTGGTGATATCTGAGTGAACTTGAAGTGTGTGACAAACCAGAAGGAACTGCTTTGTTCCTTCTATAGTCCAGTCACTTCCCAAGCGTGAGGGACCTTTGTGTTCCTCCAGTTACTCTGCAGTCTCCCTTCTTTGTTCTCTTCCTGCTCTTGTGTGCCACAGCTTCCCCTTTCCCTTTACTGCTCTTGGCCTGGAAAGGACTTTTGTGAATCCTCCTTTCTAACCCCTTGAAACACAAAGCACAGCTCTTCCTGCATACCAGC